ATATATATATATATGTGTTATATATATATATATATATATATATATATATATATATATAATTGTTAATGCACTGTTAATATATATTATGCCCTGTTCATGAATGCATTCATTTATGCTACAAAAAAATATTTCACTTTCTGTTTGTCCCCAACAGTTAACATGGCGTGTGCTGGTTTGAAACACTGCAAAGTGGCCCTGGGCTTTGCTGTTATTTTTGACATTTTTGGCTTTACGGCCCTGTTTCTGGGGCTCTTTGTGCCACTGGAAATGAAGGGGAGAGATTTCGGGGACCTTCTTGTCTACACTGGGGCTGTCTTGGTACTGATATCTCTTGGCGGTTGGGTCATGTGGTACAGCGGCAACATTGAGGGTATGCCAACACAGAAGGATCTGAGGGGAATCGGCAATGCCGTGGATCACTTGGCCCGCAGCCTCAGCAAGAAAATATATACGCATCGTGTCCACAGAGAGCCCTAACTCTCTGTTTTATTTTTAATTTCTATTTTTTTTATATAAAAAAAGTGCCTAATTTTTGTGCCTGACAGATTAAATATGGAGATTTAAAGGAAAAAAATTGTATTGTTAAATTAAGTATTCTGACCTTACACCTTGCTTAGGTAAACTGCCTGGAAACAGACTGCAATAGATACTTGAATAACTCAATTGTACTTTTGTAATATAAAGATTAGATTTAATATAATACTACTATTGTAGTTTGTTCCGTTATTGTAACAAGTCATTAAGAACTAAACAAATTGTTACAATTCTACTGTAATGTAGGGCAGTGTATTTTTATTTACTGTTGTTTTTGGCAATTTATGGCCAAGTGCAGTGTTTATTCTCTGTAAGGTGTGTTTTAGTTATCTTTTTTTAATTGAACATGTCCACAAAATGTATATGATCTTGACTGATATTTGGCAAATTGTCAGTATTGTTTTATATTAAATGAAAATGTTGAAGTGGCCTACTAAATTGTGTTCCACCAGAGTACAATATTTGCAGTACTTCATATGATCTCTAGGTGGAGACAAACTTGAACCTTTCATGTTCACTAGCGGTCACAGTTTTACATGACTGAAAATGACATTTTTCACTAATTAAAAGTTTTTTATTTTTTTTAAACACATTTTTAAAATTACTTTTCCTTTACATTATTCTTTGCTACAGGGGGTATGTCAGTTGTGAAATTAAAACACAAATTAACAAGATAAAATGTAAAAAATAAAGGGAAAAGTTTGATAAATATAAGACTGTGATTTTCTAAGCAGATCAACTTTCTTCTCTGCCTCTTCTAAAAGTGTCTCCAGTAAACAAAAAAGAAGCTTACAGTTAGTCTAAGACTTAAAAAACTGGGCTTTGTTTAGCTCTAGGGTCTTTTCCCATTTTACACTTTATCCCGGAGGGCTTTTCTTGTTTTAAGCCGTCTAATGGGATTGGGACTTATTAGCACATGTGGTCTAAAAGTGGCATATTCTGTGTGGTATAGACTGGAGTGCGTAAGGATGATTGGCACTTGATATGAGAAAAGTACAATGTGGAAAAAGTTAGATACAAATACAAATCAATGGTAGTTATGCAATTCTAAATCAATAAATTGGTGTAATCTAAGAGAAAGCAAATTGTAAAAAGATAACTGTCGTGGATAAGCTAGAAATAGTTATTTATAAATATCCCAAAGGTCAAGGTGGATCCCAAAGGTCAAATAACCACCTCCTTTCAAAAAGATCTGTGAGATTAAACATGTTACGCCCGTTTTTTGAGGCAAACACTTTAGTGGAGAACCTTACTGCATGCTTTGGAAGGAAATCATGCTTGCTATTCTTTATTTCTATATGGTGACAAATAGGGGTAAAAATATTCCATGATGCCTCTAAATTAATATGAGCTCATGAAAATGGCTTGCACAATAATTATAAAATAATTTTAAAATGGTGTTAGTTTTAGACTTTAGTGTTTCACACGAAAGACATTTAATAGAGATTTAGCTATTTTGACAGAATGTTTCTATCAATTTGACACAAAAAATATGTTTATTAATTTAAAAGTTGTTGTAAGAAAAAATGATCAAGCCAACTTTTTTTTTTTTTTGAAAGATGATGAACTAAGCCAACAGTTTGTCACTGCTACATGACATTTAACTATTTAAATGTTAGATATTTTGTTATTTAATTTGTGATATTTTATTAAATATTAAAAATAGCAGAAAGTTGGGATTTAATTTTCTTTTTCAGGAATTTTCTTTTTTTTTTATATAGGTTAAGCAGATATGTTAGCTTAATACTTGCTTGGCTTTCTTTTCATGTCACATGTTCTGGTTCTTTCCCTCCTTGTTTTTTCACTCTTTCCAACCATGTTTATTTCTGTGTGTTCTCTCTCTCATTATAGATGGAGGGATTGTCTGGTATGAGGACATTACAGTGGGCAAGACAAGGTAGACTAGGGACAGTAAGCTGATCAGAAGAGTATCAGGATGTATTTATGACCCAGACAAAATCCAATGCTTAAAAAGGTGGAAAGGT